GCTAAAATCAATATAAACATCAATAAACTGGCCCTTTCCCCACTACTGTTATTTAATAGCGAAGGTGTTTAACGTGTCCCCAATAAAATGTCGTCTCCCGCGGAATTCCAGGAAAATATCCTCTGAACAAGCGCCGTCAAGTACACTAACGAGTGCTTTATTACGTATTATTACTCTTTTATGTCCGCAATAACGAGTGATAAGTGATAAGAAGGAAAACGGGCCGTATCTTATTTGAGGGCTCATCTTCCCTTACGACGCTGAGGCGCGGGCTCTTTTGATGGAACAAACAACATTCTAGTTTGTGGAGATGATTGCGATGTACGTGTTTCACAATCATACGATTGTAATAGATAGATACTTTCCATTGTTCCAGAAAAAATTTACAAACGAATATTTAAAAAAATACGTAAAAAGCGTTTGATACAAATCACGATCATTTTTATTATTTCATCGAATTAATTAATACTCAGAATGAAGTTTATCTAAAAAAAACATTCGTTCGTTTAATTTGATGTACAACACCATGTATGAGCTGTGCCTCAGCTGTGTGTAAAAAATATAGGGAAATATCAAAAGAAGATTCTGTAAACCAGTTTAAAATTCCCAGGAATTGGCTTAATTTTGTGAATACTTGAACAGACGCCATGGAAGCCGCAGCCCCCGGGGCGCCGCGGGCGACGCCGGAGCGCGAACTAGGCGTAATTTCCCACGGCTCGGCCAGAGTGCGCCACACACGCTTCTTCATACAACCAGTTTGGAAAATGTATGGATAAATACTTTATTGACGAATTAAATTACTTCGTATTTGTTTCAAGTTCGACCAATCACTTTTGAAGTTGGACTATTGGAATACCTAACATGTTTTGTTGCTTATAATTATGTTTCTATTACTCAGCTAATACCTACTAAGTTAGCAGCCGTCTTGGAGTCCTAATTTTGTATTTTTAAAGATTTTACACGGCCACCTTCCGTGTTTAACCATGTAAGAACACCGTGACACATATGTACTTCAAAAAGATTATGAAAATCTTATTAAAANTTTGTGGAGATGATTGCGATGTACGTGTTTCACAATCATAAGACCGTCAGTATCAGATAGATACCTACTCTCATTCTCATTGTACACCCCATCGTTTCAGCCAAATGATGAATCATGAATGATTAGGGATTGATAAAAATCACTATAATTTTTATTATTTCATCGAATCAATAATTAAAACTCAGAATAAAGGTTATCTAAAAAAACATTCGTTTGCTTATTGGTACGAGCACAGCATGTATGAGTTGTACTTGTGCCTCAGCTGTGTGTAAAAAAGATAGGGAGATATCAAAAGAAGATTCTGTAAACCAGTTTAAAATTCCCAGGAATTGGCTTAACTTTGTGAATACTTGAACAGACGCCATGGAAGCCGCAGCCCCCGGGGCGCCGCGGGCGACGCCGGAGCGCGAACTAGGCGTAATTTCCCACGGCTCGGCCACAGCGCGCCACATACGCTTATTCACACATACTTTGTTTAATGACGAATTAATTACTTTGTACTTGTTTCCTATGGCTGAAATGATGATGATGATGTTTCAAGTTCAAACAATCACTTTTGAAGTTGAACTATTGGAATACCGAACATGTTTTGTTGCTAACAATTATGTTTCTATTACTCAGCTAATACTAAGTTAGCAGCCATCTTGGAGTCCTAATTTTGTTTTTTTTAAGATTTTACACTGCACCTTCCGTGTTAAACCATGTAAGAACACCGTGACACTTATGTACTTCAAAAAGATTATGAAAATCTTATTAAAAACAATCCTTTCCAAAGTTCTAATTAAAAACTGCAGTGCAATAGTAAAGTTCACCTCCCTTTGTAGTATATCAGTTCAACTCCAGTTAATTTGTACATATTTTACGAAGTTCGCTTCTTAGAGCACAGCTTAATTAAACTTTTCTAAGTTGTCTGGTTTCAAAGCACAATTCCAGTAGAAATATGACTTTCATTCTCGTTCCAAACGCTGGAGAACTTGCCTTATTAAGGGTACAGCGCACCAAGAAAAGCTGTTTGTGAAAATTTGACAGCTACAGATAATGAATGATGCACCAGTGGCCTGGTTCCTGTAATTCGAACAAGTTTTTCCTNATTTTCCTAACTTTCGAATTTGTTTATCTCACCCGGAAATAATTGAGATTGAGAACGTCTGGCACAATTAGCCTAGGCGCAGATCATCGATTTTTCGTCGGCCGATAGTTTAGTCGGGCAGTTGATCAGTATGGGCATTGGGCATGTATGGAAGTGCGCACATTACACCGATTTGATCATACTGCTTACCTGTGTTTCACAAATAAATTATTTGAATTTGAATTTGAATTTGATTTGGCCGATTCTTCATAAAAAAATTGGTAAGTTAAAAAGATTATGAGACATGTAAAGGCTCCTTAAGATAAAATATTTGACGATTTGTAAGTAGGTACTATTTATTAGTCTAAACAAATAAAAAAAAATTGACTTTGACTTTGATTAAAATCGGGCCCACTAAAAATCGGTGGTCTGCGCCTAGTCTTAATAATAATTTTAGTGTAAAATAATCATATTCATTCATAAATATGGGTATTACAGGATGTCACATACAAAAATATGTATTAGCATTGCAAAAACTTAGCATTAATAATTGATATTAGCATTGCAAAAACTTAGGCGCTTAGAACGTCCATCATAATTCATACGTGAACATGTTTTTATGATTCGGCGAACTACGGCTCTATAACTCACCCCGACGTCGGAGCCTAAAACATCAAGTGTAAATTAAATCCCACTCACGTGGCGATAATAAGTACACTCTCTTCCACGTGTTAGTTAATGCGTACATTAATATTACATATCCCGTCCCCCGACCCTCTTAGCGATGACCGCCATTACCCGCCCGAAAATAACGTCAATTAAAATTTATAATGCGTATGCGCCTATTTGAGTAATTCATGTCATAATAATTTACGATCTCCTCTGTAATCTAGGGGACGCAATTCTTTTATGCCTACGAAGAAAACATCGTAGTGTGACTTACGGGGGATAATATTAATTCACATCATAACTTTTCCTCTATTATTATTTTTTCCGTGCTAGGAAAATTAATCTATGTCTGAAGTGCACATTATTTTCATTTTATTAATTAATGAAGATATTATCCGTAATCAGAAATTGTATTTGTAGTAAGAACAAAGAAAAGCCGCTATCTCGCAAAACGAGTTGTCGTGCGGCGCGGCGGGCGGCGGGCGGCGGGCGGCGGGCGGCGGCATCGTGCGGATTCGTGCGGCCGGCGGGCGCCGCCGCCGCCGAGCACATAACCGCCGCCGAAAATAACATCAATTAAAATTTATAATGCTTACATAAAAATCCCGGCGCGTAAACCCGCTCGTTTCCCAAACGAGCGCAGTAAATTTTAGCACTTTAATTCGGCCGTATCGCCGGACGGCGGCCATTTTTCAAAAACAATCACGTATAAAACAATGACGCGTGTCGTCGCGAGCCAAACAAATGGGCGCGCTTAAACTGCGGACAAAAGTAACGCAAATATTATTGGACGTTCCGACAACGGCCAGGTGTTCAAACGCCGTCAAACGGCCCGCTGTGTGCGGCCGCATTCCGCAACGGCTAACATCTCATCAAAGTAATATCACCAGGTTTTTGTTGCAATATACTAACGGAAATTGGAGCGAAAAATTGGGTACATCCGTCAACGGGACTCGTCGGGAAAGCAGAATGGAAATGACGTAATAAATATGCACGCCGCATGCGTCTCACGCATCAACGTCATTCAGACAAAACGAAACGTCAGGAGCGATCGTGTCGCTTGAAACAAGTCCGCGGCGGGTAAGTGGGTCGACCTGCGAACAACAAAAACGTGGAAACAATACAGAAAAAAAAATCGGTTAAGCGCGAGTCGACCCACGTTATGTAGAGTTCATATAATCATCAAATCGATACAGCACCGTAACACAAAACCGTAATCTGAGTCTGCTGGTAGGCATTTATTTGAAAGTTATTGTAGAATATCATGACGAAGAATAATAAATAGAGACAAAGATGTATGATTTGCAACTATTTTTCCTTAGTTTAGATCTTGATTCTATTTTAAAAGTTGAAAGCAAAATTAAATAGGGATTTTTTTCTCACATAGCTGTTCCCCATCAAACAAACAAATTGGTTGATATCAGCCCTGTTTGGAGTCGCTAAGTGCTGGCCCCTAACGCGACATGAGCGAAGGCGGGCGGTGATGCGTCGCGATCCGTGTAACAACGCGCGACTGATTGCCCCTGAAAGGGTGCGCCGCCGCAAAAAGGAAAATAAAAACAACCCGCACTGCTGATTAAAACGCGACAGCACAAAGCGATTATCGGACCGTACCACCGTCTATTACTTTATGCCCTATTGTTTTTCCCGAGGATTAATTTGTTACAGTAAATCTTTTGTTGATGGAATTCAATTTTGATTTTTCGTTAACCGATTATCGCGCAGCCTGCCTGTCGGGTTAAAAGCTCGGGACGGCACAATACACGTGTATATCTTGTCGCGTGTTTAATTTTAAAAGCGAATGCCTTTTTGTTAAGCTGAAAAGGTCAGCGTGTTACTTTGTTCGGGAGCAAATGGATCAATTGCTGTAAAAATGTGACATTTCAGCGATGAATGAATTGAATAAGATAATGTGTTTACCTATGTCAATTGATAACCTAGGTATATTTATTCAACTACACAAAATACTGCCATTCAACGTGTGTTTCTTTCCCATTTAGCACATAAAAATAAGTATTAATACAATTTTAAGCCCTTCGTAGAGGCTTCTCTGTGTTCTGAAAACCGTGAAAATTCCGGTCCGTGGACTATACATATACACTATATTGTAATAAAAGTATTATGTATGTATTCCAAGCGGTTGCAGGAGACCACGTAACAATAGATTTCTACCGTCTCGATTGGCGGGGTTTTGAAGGTATAAATAGTTATTATACTCACGTCGTGCAGCCAGGACAGCTTGCGGACGGCGGGGTTGGCGCGCACGTGGCACTCGAAGTACACGTCGTCGCCCTCCTTGATGTCGCCCTCCGCCAGCGAGCTGCCCAGCCGCAGCCACACCACCGGCGGGTCTGTGGGAATACCAGTCTAAGGCCTTGTCCAGGAGGGCGAATCCACCGCGAAGGCGAGCTTATGTATGACGCGATTTACGAGCGAATTTACAACTCGCGCGTGTCTTGTGGACGTAATGTATTGGCTGCTAGTAACTCGCCAACGCGCGTATGATTCACCGCGTGTAGGATTCGCGACGAATTCGCCCGTCTGGACAAGGCCTAATTTCTTTTGCTTGGTCTATTATGCGGCTTTCCTTGAAGAAAAGCGTGCTCATCATTTGCACGAAAGCATACTTTTATTGGGCAAGTGCTCATTAGTAGCACGTGTGTCGTAACATTGCTAGTATTGCGCATGCTTATTTTGAGCATGCTTAAAAATCAACCGACGTTTGATTTTCGAGCATGTTACCCGGAGGGGGAAAGGGGAGGAAGGATAAACAGGGCTAGGACGCGTAGAACTTTTCTCAGTAGGTAAATAAATTAATATTATGGATTATTACCTTTATTTATCAACCCTGACATGGAATCCATTAGCAGCCTTTACTTCAGTTATATTTAGTTTTATCCATCCGTAGTAATAGATTAACCAACTTCACAGCTTAAAGCTTTGATCATAATAAATTAATGATGTAGGTGTTTATTAGAGTTCACGTTACATTAGTCAGTATTTGAGCAAATTCACTAGACCTAATTACTATACTCGTACCTTGTTCAAAATTATAGATGAACTACGGAGTTATCTAAAATGTATTTGAACTTTCGGCAACTTCGTGATTAGCAGAACCTACTAATTTCAGCCGAGTGTTTGTTGACGATGTACGATTCCCGGATATTTCCAGTTAGGATCGGGAGAGGGTAATTGACATCTGGAATATTTGTGTGATTTGAAGTATTTAATTAGTTATTAACAAGTAAAACCGTCTCTAGTCTACTTGGTCGATCGGCTGTCAGTGAGTTTCAGATTTGTATATTTGTTGGTACATAGGTAAATAACTGTCGTTGAAACAATGCACTCACAGACGACGCTGATGGTCCACGAGGTCTCGAGCGAGAGCGAGGTGACGTTGGGGTTGTCGGCGCGGCACGTGATGGGCGTCCCGTCGTCGGCAGCGTCGGCACCAAGCTCACACGTTCGCCGTCAGGTTGCTAACTTGCTAGGGTATAGCCACATGCACTCACAGACGACGCTGATGGTCCACGAGGTCTGGAGCGAGAGCGAGGTGACGTTGGGGTTGTCGGCGCGGCACGTGATGGGCGTCCCGTCGTCGGCAGCGTCGGCACCAAGCTCACACGCTCGCCGTCAGGTTGCTAGGGTATAGCCACATGCACTCACAGACGACGCTGATGGTCCACGAGGTCTCGAGCGAGAGCGAGGTGACGTTGGGGTTGTCGGCGCGGCACGTGATGGGCTTCCCGTCGTCGTCCAGCGTCGGCACGAAGCTCAGCACGCTCACCGTCAGGTTGTTTCTGTGCTCTTCCTGTACACAATAAAGTTTGTTATTATTACATGCTAATTAATTCTTAAAATCTAGATGCGAAACGCCAGCTGCTTGGGAAAATATTGCAATATTCGAGCTTTCAAAAAGCTAATGAGCACAAAGATTAGTCAGCAGTGATGTGGCTTAATTTAACGCACCGATATTGTTTCGTCCGCAAACGCAAACGCGTGCGCCACAAGCTTGTCGGCCGGGCGGGTGAGCGCGCATTGATTGTCACTATTAATTAAATCGATTGTTCCTGCCCCGGCGGCGCTGGCTCCTGTGAGCGGCCGAGATTAATGGCGGACGAAGGAAAGGGCAGAAGGTTTGCTTATGAAATAACAATTCTTTATCATGCTATAATACTTATTATGAATATTGGTAATCCATGACCATAAACGTGCACAGTTTGGTTTCATTATTTGATAGTCGAGATATAAATAAATTTTAATTGGAAGTTTCACTATCGCGGATGTTTACTTTACATACATAATTAACTAGTTTTTACGAAAGGAACACTCAGCGTATGTCTCACACTCTTTGATCACGATCAATCAACGATATATTATTATTATGTCAGATGCCGGCAAATTATGGCTACCGGGATCGTCCGGGTATTGGAGACATCGGTCTTCAAATAGGCTTTGTGCCTGAGTTCACCGCGCCTGTGTCTATTGTGCCGGCGCCCGCAGGTGCCGGCCGGCTGTTTGCGCCGTGCGTCATGGCTCATGGCACACTCGACGCCTCCTAATGCCTTTTGATCGCCATCGGAGGCAAACACAGGGCTCGAATATCCAATCGGCAGGTGGGCCTACGGCTCTACAATAGGGAAGAAGCTATTACAAGGAGCTATTGAACTGTAATGGTTTGATTTGAGAGGTATTGAATCCGAGATAGTTAAGACTGAAAACGATCATTACACTAACATTGACTGCTGTAGACCGGTAAGTAAACCACAGGCCGTCATAAGTGCGACTCCGTTGTTCGACAATCTACGCCAATATTGAGATCTAAACAATCAGTGCCCCGCCGGCTTTAGCCACGCGCTATACCGCCCGGCATGCACGAAACCTATAAATTCAATCAGTATTTTATTCGAACGACAAATCTTTTCTCGTACCTACTCGCTCGCTCTCAGCTTACCAAAATGCTGAATGTGTAGCACTTTTTTCTGAGCGCGGATTTTAACAAATCTTATAAAGCCGAAACGTTTGCAAAGGATTAACGGGTTGGGCTAAAAGCGAGGAACATCGGATTTGTCAGCGCTAATATCAATAATGCAGCGATTATATCGCTTTGTGCTGCTTTTCTTTTTGGTGCTTCGCGATAAAATATTAATAAAGCTCGTGTTTTTCATTTCAATATCGATACACCGCTGTTTCTCGGAAGCTGTTAAAGCATAAACAAATTAGGACGATTTATTATTAAAACACTCTTAAAACATTGGAGAAATCTGTTGAGATGTTGATATTAGCCTCATTAAAAATAATTGGATATGATCTTAATTCTTTTAAATTAATTAATATTCTAGATTATTATTTTAGGTATTTTGTAATAATTTTTAAGGTAAGTAGAAATGTCTCCTCAGTTTTGTGAGATGTGATCAATGATCATGTGTGTGCATTCAATCATACCGCGGTAGTGGTGTAAATAAGAAGGACATTTACATTTTAAAGAATAATTCTGTTTTCAAAAATATAGCTTTACATTATTATTACAGTTTTTTTGCATCGAAAGCAAACATAATGTTTTGGTAGGGCTTAAATTCTGGACACGTGGAAAGCATTTTCCATCAATAGGTACAGCGAATTCCATTTGGGTCAGGATTATTTTTGTTAGTCCTTAGTTATTTATATAAAAGTTTTCCTTCCGAGAATGGGGAGATACTTATTTTTTTGTGAACTTCGAACAATATTTGGTTCAATGGCCGATTGTTATCATTACTATGTTTGAAAATAAAATTGCGCCAAAAACCTCATTTAAGGGAATAACTATGCATTTGCATCTATTAAACCATATTAATAACAATGAGCACTAACGGTCCAAATGGTTGCTTCATTCGTACTTATTTGATCACGCGTCCGCAATAAATAGAGTCACGTCGCATCTGGGCCCGATCGCCAGTGGACACTATTAGTTACTGTTGTCCATTGGAACAAATGTGTACTAATTCTGGATTTAGAACTGTAAGCTATGTTGTTTTCATTAGTTACAGGCAACATTCTCTATGAAACATCTCGCGTGTAACTCAAGCAGGCTTGTTATTGTTTGGTTTGTAACTTTGTAGTGTGCGTATCAGTGTATAAAAACAATGAAAAGTTAAGAATCCCATCATCGCATCCTTGTCGCTGTGGTCGTCGCGTGTTGTTCTGACTTGCAATGATCATTTAATCATTCGTCAAAGGTCGCGGTCCGCGTCACGCGCCCGCAATAAATCGCGCCCGGCACGTAGCGTCCGTGGATGTGTGCTCTTTATATATCTCATGCATTTTTACTTATTGTGTTTCCCCAAGGTTATTGATAATTCTAAATAATAAGATCATTCGAATATGATAAAAAATACAAAATTATTTTGCGAACTGGAACATAACACGGAAATTGAGATAACCAAGTAAATACCTAACGAGTTCATGCTCTGGATCCGTCACTGAATAAATTATGCACATGCATGCTGTCTAAATCGTGTACCTTTTATACCTACTCCGCTTCCTTAAACCTAGGAAAACTAGAGCTGCCTGAATCTCGCGTTCCGGGCATGCGCCACTTCTAGTACAGAAGTGCGGCGCATAAATTGGCAAAAATCTTAATCACGGCTGAGTCGGCGCCGGGGCTGGCGGCCGGCCAGCGCGGCCTATTACGCGATGGACCAACGCATGCTGGGCTAGATGCTTATTTTATTTACCCCAATGGTACACAACTTATTTCTTCATTGAAGAAAGCGATATCTACTTTGATTGACTGCTAGTAGTAGGTACGTTACGGTTTACGGTGTGATCCGCTTTGGTGACTATAATTAATGGAGGACGTAATAAGTAATTAATGAAACGGTAGGTAGGTATGTACGCTGTATTACTGTGCAGGAGACTGGCACCGGCTGAAAACCAGCGCTGCATGGACCTAGTGCCGTACAGCTTACGCTGAGCCGGATGCCCTTGTCACCTTATTTTTAATTGTTAAGCTGTGTTAAAGTTGTATTTTTTTTTGTTATGGTGACAATAAAGGTTTATTCTCTGGCGGGCGAGTAGGAACTTGAACGAATTTGTCAAGGAGACTAACATCGACATATTTTGTACTAGCATTGCTGTGGCGAGGAGAAAGCTAGGCGACCGTTTTTTTAAGGACAACTAAATTGTTTTTCTGTTTGGCAATGTCTTCCAATACTTTTTATTTAGGTATTACATAGTATATTATAGTAGTGTAGTACGTAGTATGTAGTAACCCTGGTGCAAAGGCTCACTAAATTTTTTAAATTGTTTTTACCTGTGGGAACCTATAAGTGGTTTACTCGTTGCCTATCTTATGTTATTATTACACACTGTAAAACCCTGGTTTTCCTAAATAAATAAATAAATAAATTTATTTATTTACTTATTCTCTCTGTATTTCAGAGATCCTCTTTTAAGTAAATATTGACGAGTGAAAAGATATTGAAGAGCTATCTACGTACGATAGACTACGTAGGTAAAAAACCTCACCCTGTATGCAAACTCTGAATTCGAAAACAGTTGCTATTCACGCATCCGCTCTTTGAAATACTTATCACGCATATTGCGGACATCGGCGGCACCGGACAACCGGACGGTTTAAAATGCAATCAGCGTCCGGAAGTGGCGCTAATTAAACAGAGATACCGTAAATGGCCGCCTTCCCCGGCCTAATTTGTAACGACATCACCTTTTAGAAAAACAGAAATGGCCGATTTGCGAGTCAGCCGTCAGCGACACGGAGTAGAAACGTAATCTCGTAACGGCAGACTCATATAATATGTATCTCTATTATAACTGTTAAAAATACGAGTAATACACATGATATTTTATATTTGAAAAACCATGAAACAATTTACATTGTCGTTACAAAAATAAAATGGTACAGAGTTTAATTAAACTCATATAAATTTACTTATGTTCATCTCCAAAGTATTATTCCAAAGATGCATTAATTAGTTAGAAGACTTTATTTTTAGTGTGGGGCAATCTAAAATGTAATTTCGATTGCAAATAAGAACTCAAAGCCCAATCTGCTCTGATGTTAACTTCTTCGAGCTCTGCTGAATACCAATTCCAAAAACTTTTATTTTCAAATTCTTATAATAAAGTCCACGGCAAAGTTATCGTTTGAAAAACGATCAAAAGGCGATATTATGCAAACTGGAATATGTAAATTCGCACCAGCGGTAATGCAGAGCATAATTTGGAATATCCGCGCCGTTTGCGATCGTCTGCGGTCTTCAGGTGGAGCCCGGCCGTAAAGCGGAGGAGTTATGTCAATTGACACGGAAGCGGAGTGCCGGCCGAATAGACTGTCGTGGGCCTTCTGGCAGATAGGGTTATATACGACGTGGTATTTATTTATTTCATATAGTAAAACAAAAAAATACTCAACCGGAGCTTATGGACGTAATCAATAAAATAACTTTAGACACACGCTTACGGCTTTAAAATAGAAACATTTTATCTAGAAAAAAAATCACTCATATTATTGAAACTTCAAAGCAATTCAAAATGATTCCGTCAACTTTTTTATCGTTTTTGAATCATAAAACTGGAAACGAAGCAAACCAAACATTCAATTATTGCCGTAATGACCAATTATACTCTAAGCAAACACCGGTCAGACGCTCATTCGAGTGATTTAGCGGCCATTACCGGTGCAGTTACTTTTACGCGAATGTGCATAAATTGGCGGGTCCCCTCGGCGTCTAATTAAACGCCCGTCGCTCGCTTTACGAGCGTTTAAAACTCGACTACTTGCGGTGCGGGGTCCAGTGGTTGCTTGCGCCG